CACACACACACACACACACACACACACACACACACACACACACACACACAAACACACACGCGCGTGGGCACACACACACACATGCTCTCACACACAAACACACACACTGTCCCCTCTCTCCTGCGTGCAGAGAGAGAGACAGACAGACAGAGGGAGCATGCGCTAGGGGAGGTGGGGTAAAGGTATGGAAGTTGAAAGGTTATGGGGGGCGTTTGTTGCAGGAGTGGGAGGGGTGATTTCTCCCCCCCCACCCCCAGTGCGTAGCCCTGGGGGACCGTGCACAACCCACTTGGTCCATTTTTCAAATTCCCTTCTTCAAGGGGAGTTCTACCATAGAACGCTGTAGAATTCCGGGTGGGGGGGGGGGGTGCAGAACTCCATAAAACTCTGGGGTTCTACCATTCTAGGAGCTCAACCTGACACATAGGCTGTTTCAAAAACTTTCGATTGTATTATTGTTTATTAGTGAAACTTTCCTTCTTCTCTCTGCTGCTCCCTCCCTTTGTCTCACTTTCTGGTTACTAGCTGCTTATTGTGGAACTCCATTGAGTGCTTCATGCCTTATTCTGCATTGTGATTCGTTCCTTCTTGGATGCACTGAGACTACTTGCATGTGGAAGCTTCTCATGATTTTCATTACATACCGATAGGCTATAGCATAACTTAAAGTTGAAACAAGGTCCCTTCTCAAGTAAACGGCTGCACTTCTACATCTCAAGTAAACGGCTGCGCTTCGACAGCTCCATATTGTTGTTATAAGCTGAAAATGATGGCAAAATTGAAAAATCTACATGAATGTATCGTTGCAGTTCAATTCTCAAATCGCAGGTCCTTTCGTTCCCCTTAGTCATTCTCTGTGGGTTCCTTTGTGAAAAAGCAGAGAAAGTCATGCATGCTTTGTATCCAATTTCTTCACCGAGAGCACAGTCTTTTGGATCACGTTCTGCCATCCAGCTAGCTAGCAAGCGGAGGGAAAAAACGATACCCAGCTGGCAGTAGCAAACATACCTGTAACACTTGTGGAATTCTTTTCATGAACGCCAGGCTTGTTCCTGCATCCACTTGTATTCATGACAGACACCATACACCCAATGAACAAAGGGCTCTAACTGCACAAGATCCAGTCCTTGTGAATAACATGTAGGCAAATATACAAACTATTCCCACCCTTCCTGACTTGGCCTCAATAAAGACAATGTTGTGTGCCTAACTCTCTCACTTCTGTATGCTGTTGTGAGGAAAGTCAGCCCAAGGTTCATCACAATTCTCGTATAAAAATGGTTTTACAACATGACATTGTCCATTTAAACTTTGTTATATTTGTCTCGCACTTTGTCTTATTTGTCTCGCACAAAAGCTTTGCCATGGGCACTCTCCCTTTTTGCTTTTCTTTTTGGTCTCAGACTGTCCTTTTGCATGTGAAAGGAAGTCCAGGCCTGAGACTTTCGCTTCTCAGGAGGAACGAAGTGCACCGGGAATCCGATAATCAGCCAGGTTCAAGTACGATCACTTCAACTGCCACTTCTCCAAAGTGAAAATCATTATCAGAAAATATTCTAGAGCTTCCATCAAAGCTCGTATAATTCTATCTACAGTAATCATCATAGCCGGTAGCTGTCAAAGTCGAGCTACAGATCTTGAGACATGTCATCACCCAGTTGTCGATCCACGAATGCTCAACAAGCAAGAGAACCATGTTACAGTATTGGATGGGCAGATGGAGGCATCACCGACTAGAGGCGGCAGAAGAGGAGAGGGGAGGGATGGAGAGGAACTGCAGGGAAAAAAGGACAAGGTTACTAGACCGTGCATGACAAGCATACTTAGATCAAATGGGAAGCTCAAAATTCATTCAGCAGAGAATGGGCAGAGACTACATGCAAAAGCATCCAGGAATCCCCTCTGCATCTTTGACTGTGAGAAGCATTATGTGATGTCCTGTATAAATGTCACTGGTTGCCACACGTTCTTCAGCACCCAGCCACGTCAACACCTCGTTAACTCTTTTTGTCACAAGTCTGCGCTTGTTTGGTGGCGTGATCTTTGGCAAGTCCTTCCTCATTTCAATTGCTAAAGCCCGGAGCTTCCGCCGTTCACGAAATGCCTCTCTGATGGCATCATCCATGTTCTTTGACGCCTGTGCCTCTTGAACAATCATTGGCGCTTTCTCCTTGTTCAGTTGTCCATGTCCACAATCAATTGTAATGCCTTCTGTCAGGCCCATCTGAATGTGATTATCCGTTGCCTCAGCTGCGGCATGAAGAATCCCATTTTCATCCACATTCAGAATGAGACGGGTAACAGGCTTGCCCGTTGCCCTGACAGGTGTGAAACCCTGGAGGTGAAACACACCCAGGAAACGGTTATCACTGCACATTGCACGCTCTCCTTCGTACAAGTAGAATGACAAACTTGTCTGGTAGTCCACAGCCGTTGAGAAGCACTCGGACCCTTGGGCAGGAAGGGGAGAGCTCCTTCGTATGATCACATTCATCTGATCCAGGTTCAATTTCACTCCAATGCTCAGAGCTGTAACATCCTCAACTGATATTCGTGGACCATTACCGGGGTCATCACACCTATTTGCCCGCATTCCTGCCATTACCGCTGCCCCATAGGCCACAGCTTCGTCCACATGCCCACACGCTAGAGGTGGTCTCCCAAAGAATTCTTTCAGCATTTCTTTCACGCGGGGAATCCGTGTGGACCCGCCCACGAGAACAACTTCTGCAATGTCCGTTCTGCTAACATTAGCTATATTTAGCGCATCTTGAACCACTGCCATGCACTTTGCCAGCAGGTCTGCAATAAGTGATTCAAACTTTGCACGTCCTAACTCCGTGTGCAGATCTTTGTCCTCGTACACACGCTCCACATCTATATCTGCTGAAACACTGGAGGAAAGTCCACGCTTTGCTGACTCAGCCACGCCTTTCAACTTTAGCAAAGTCTTCTGATTGCTGCGCAGTGCCACGTTGGTCCCAGTTTGCTTCTCGAATTCATCGAGCAAGTGGCAGACAAGTCGATTGTCAAAATCTGCTCCCCCCAGATGGCGATCACCTGCCACTCCATTCACCGTAAACTTGGAAATAATGTCAACACCGGATGTCACTGCGATAATGGAAACATCGAAAGTTCCACCCCCCAGATCAAACAGCAGGATCCTCTTGTTTTGACATTTCTTTCCTATCAAGCGCTGATGCCCGTAAGCTAGTGCTGCAGCAGTCGGTTCATTCATCAACCTTAGCACGTTTAACCCTGCATTTTCACCTGCGTCCTTTGTTGCCTGCCGTTGACTGTCATTAAAATAGGCAGGAACAGTAATCACTGCATTCCTTATACTAGGGTAATTGGTGAAGTCCTCCGCGATCTTCTTCATCCTCCTAAGCAACATTGCAGAGATCTCCTCGGGCTTGAAATGCTGACCATGCTGTTGATAGCTTGAAGTCAGTCTGGGAACTTCCACAAGTGCCTCCCCTGATGACCCTTCTACAACCGTGAATGGCCAATGCTTAGAGTCCTGTTGCACATCAGTATCCCTGAACGCTCTACCCATCAGGCGTTTTACTTCATATATGCATTGCTCTGGATTCTTTTGACCGTACCTCTTTGCAGCCTCCCCGACCAGACATTCCTGCTCGGTGAAAGCAACAAAAGATGGTGTTACTCGAGAACCAGTCTCATTAGGAACGACTTCCACCTTGCCATCTTGAAAGACAGCAACACAGCAGTAAGATGTCCCAAGGTCGATGCCAATCACTGGCTCGGACACGGGCTCCATATTACCTATAAATTGTTGGCTCTACGAGCAAACGCTTGACAATGTCCACAAGAGTATCCTAAATGTTGCCGTTGCTTTCGTTGTCTCTGGGACGATGACTTAGAAACATCCGATGCTTTGCCCTCAGCTAGGACACTAGAGTGCTATAGAAATGATAGAACTAGTTTGTGCTGCTCGAAGCCCTTTAGGGGGGCTCTAACCGGAACTATCATGAGAACTATGAGCTCAGTCATACATATGTTAGCTTTTGTGGACCCAACCGTCGCAAGACCAATGCTTAGTCGAATCGTCCCTTATTCCGTTGACTGACTTGAGTCCTTAACTTAAAAAGAATAGAGCACTTCCACCCTACAATCCCCCGTTGATGATACATATCATCATACTGGATGGGTGTCTCGTTCTCCCCTGAGCCCCTTTTTCTGCTCAAGCTAGTCCCCAATTACTCGGCTTCACTGCATGCACAGGTGCAGTGTGTTCTGTAAGCGCGGCAGCGTCTTCTCATGCACAGGATTTTGTTGCGTGACCAATCACCAAATCACCAAACATCATCCCCAAATCCATCCATATCCATTTAGAATTAATATGACAGCAAGTTTGGTTCATCGCCAAGTTCTTACACACCCGTCTTCCCTAAAGGGCAACACTTGCACATATGAAAACGGGCACATCTAGGAAGCAGTGTTGAGTACTATTGACCAACCTCCAGTCATCAGCTAAAGACACATCATCCGGTATATACCTCGTCAATTCGCACAGCACAAATTCAAATCAACAGAAAACATCCCCAAACAACGGCCTGACTGTCCTCCCATCATGACGCTCAAGTGCCACCTCTCTCCAGTGGGCCAAAAAAAAGCACAAACGAACAGAAGATGTGTGCGGCAGCAGGAGCTTCACCAGCTAAAGAACTCTGACCGGCAGCAGGAGCATTGGTCCAGTGGACTCAGTCCCAAGGAATCCCACCTCTGACAAAAACTGTCTGAGCCCCCCAGGCGCACTCCAAAAGCAAGGCCTTACACCCTCAGATGATGTGCAACAGCAGGTCCTGGAGCGCCCTAGTTAGAGCAGTCTAGAGTTCAGGCCTTTTCTCCATGTGCTCTGAAGTAGCAGCGAGTGGGACCTCCCTGAGCTCTTGCGAACATCTCCTGGCCAAGACAATTCCACCACAAATTAAGAGCGCCCACGCTCTGACCCAGGTGAAAAGTTGGACACCAAAGAGTCTCTCATGAGACCATATGTGTAAGTGTGTTTGCAAATATGTCACGGTGTCTCACCATCTGTTTGTCCCTCTGTCTGGCTCAGACTGCCTCAGAGTTTGTGTGTGTGTGTGTGTGTGTGTGTGTGTGTGTTGTAAACTTTTCCTTGTGCCGTTATTTCTTCGATTTCCTTACTTCGGCTTTTTTGGGGGTTTCTTTTTTGTCTCTTCTTGCAGCTCCCCTTTTACTGTGCATCTCACATACAACGCTCTACATTGCCGTGTGCCATAACGGCTCACTTGCACACAGTCTATGAAAAGGAGGCAAGGGGGGAGGCACAAGCCTTTTTTTGACAAGGGCAACAACCTTGAGATATCATTATTTAATTCAGAAGTATATTTAATTTCTCTCATTCATCTAATTCCAGCTGGATTCGAACTCAGGTCTGCATTTCCACAGGTCAGGGTTGTACCAACTGAGCTACGCCCGTTGTGGGGAGTATACTCCTGTTCGTTTACTGCACACCTTCACCTTATATTTTGTGTGTTCTCGTAATGACGCTCATTTGTATGCATTTAGTAGTGCTACTGAAGTGGAGGCAGGAGGCAGAAGGGGGAGAGGAGGTCAGTGGAGGAACAAAGAAAACAATAGAGGAAAGCCAAACTTCACAGGGTTCTCAGTACTTGCGGCCAGAGCAGACTATTATGGAATGGCACGAGAGGCCAGTCAGTCTTTGGGTTGCAGAAAAAACTAAGTTGAGGACAGTGAGGAGCAGGCATTGCCTACGGTGAGTGGCCACCCCTGCAGACTGGACAGGACTGGTTCAGGTGTGGGATGTGGAAGCACAGCATTCGGCGCGCGAGTTCAACACAGAGGTCTTGGACCCGTTGACGTCCGAGGATTTCGCATGGCTTCCTCTGCCTACCACAGGCCGCTTACTGGAACCACAATGTGCAGCACTATGCGCCCGTCTCCACACATACTTAGCTTTCTATGCACCACCAACTTCGTCGACGGATGACGACGCTGCGGTGGGGGACCTCCTCGCATATGTTACCAAGGTGGCCCTTGAGTTTCGCACGCAACGGTACGATGACAACAACGCACCGCTCCTTTATGTCCACATCCAAGTTGGGAAAGCGTCCTGTAGCGCTTTGCTGGATAGCGGCGCGACTTGCAACTTCATGAGTCAGTCCTTTATACAAAGAGCCGGCCTTAGCGCACAAGTTCGAAGGAGGGCACATCCTACAGCGGTCAAGTTGGCGGACCGTCGGACACATTAACTCCTTGATCACTACATCAAAGCCATACCGGTTTATTTCGCACCTCATGCATGCGAGCCGGTGGCGTTTGACGTCTTGAACACAGATTTCGATATCATTTTCGGGATGCCTTGGCTTGCAAGTGCGGATCACGCGGTGAACTTCCATCGGCAGACACTCACCGCTCGCGATGCCTTTGGCGCCGAGGTGCTGTGTACTATTCCTCTTCCGCACCCTTCGATCCGGTGCCAAGTTGTGATGGCCAAGTCTTTTCGGGCCACTTGTGCCTACGAGCAGACTGACGAGATCGGCCTATGTTTTCTTCGAACCGTCACAGTAGCCGACTCTTCACCGACGAACTTGTCTTCGGACCCCCAAGTGGTGCGGTTGTTGGACGAGTTCGCCGACATCCTCGAGTCTCCTACAGGTGTGGTGTCGGATCGGTCGATCTCCCTTAGTCTTGAGGCCGGTGTCATGCCACCAAAAGGATGCATCTACCGCATGAGTGAGGAAGAGTTCGCGGTTCTCCGCGCGCAACTTGTTGACTTGGATCCGTCCTAGTAGCTCACCATATGGTGCGCCAGTTTTCTTCGTAAAGAAAAAGAACAAGGATCCACGCTTGTGCATTGACAATGGCAAGCTCAACGCACAAACCATCAAGAATGTGGGGCATCTTCCTCGTATCGATGATCTTCTTGAGTGTTTGGGCAGCGCAAAATACTTTCCAAAGTTGGATTTGAAGTCGGGCTATCATTTGATTTTGATACGCCGACAAGATGGCTACAAATCCGCGTTCAAAACGCAGTACAGACATTTTGAGTGGGGTTGAACGACATTCTCGTCTATAGCCGGACCTTGGAGGACCATCTCGAGCATTTTCGACGCGTGTTGGAGATGCTTCGTCGCACCAAGTACAAAGTCAACCGAGACAAGTGCGGATTCGTACGACAAGAGTTGGAGTACGTGGGTGACTTTGTCACACCCGCGAGCATCAATCCGTATCAGACAAGATCCAAGGTCGTCCAAGAGTGGCCGGAACCAAGGAACGTCACGCATGTCCGTTCATTTTTTGGCCTTGCCCGCCACTGTCGACGCTTTATTAAAAGCTACACGAAGACCTCGGTCAGTTTGACCAAGCTTCAATGCAAGGATTAGCTGTTCGACTTCGCGATGATGTAGAGGCTTCCTTTTTAACCCTCAAAGCCGCTTTGCTTTTCGCGGAGGTCTTGCGCATCTATGACCCGTTGTTACCGACGCGTGTAACTACGGATGCGTCCGGCTATGGCATTAATGTCCTCCTCGAGCAACACGATGGCGTGGATTGGCAACCAGTCAAATACTTTAGCAAGAAAAAGTGTCCATCGTGCACTTGATTAATGACACACGGAAGGAGCTATTAGCCTTCGTATACGTGCTAGAGCGGTGGTGACATTTTCTTCTCGGTCGAAGTCAATTCCGATGGGTAACGGATAACAATCCATTGGACTTCTATAAGACACAATACACGGTCAATAGCACCATTGTCCATTGGATGGCCTTCAGCAACCAGTTTGATTTCTTTCCCGATCACATTCCGACTATGTGTCCTCCTCGGCCGCGGATCTTGTGGCCTCGGCCGCGACCGAGGAGACCAGCCGCGGGCCCGCGACCGAGTTTGCGCGCGGCCGCGCCAGGGCCAGGCGAGTTTGCGCGCGGCCGTCTCCACACATCGGCCGCTATCGCCCTGTGTAGAAAAAAAAAAATG